GTCATTTCGGAGCAGTCGTAATCATGTCTACATCTAACACAGAACAAGATAGCAGTTGTTTCAAATTGAAGTATCCCACGAGAACCCGTCCTATGCCATGCTCAAAAGCCACGCCTACTCCGTCTCAGGGAAGAAGTACCAGGGCTCGTGGCGCTTCACATTGGAAAGATTTTGTATTGCCCAATGTCATAGACTAAATACGACCTGAACAGGTTGTTCTGGGCTGTCCTTAGTAGTGAACAAAGTAGTTATTCATTATTCCCTCCTCCCCCTCTCCCACTTCCCTTCTCCCCCCCCCGTCCTCGATAACGTCGACTTTATAAGATGTTACCAAAGTGATGGATTACAGTAGTTGGACAATTTACCTCTCCTGATACTTGTCGTTACATCTGGGTAGGGATGACGCGCAGCAACTAAATTGCCGCGCGTGCGGTGGTGATATGACTCATGATCATCTTGTGGCCACTTCAACGCCACTTTTATTGCATCGTCGCAACTCGGATTTCCTGACCCACCTTATCCTTTTGGGGTAGAAGAGGTAAGCGGTCGCACTGATTAAAGGCTAAGCCCGCGATCATTCGTCAGAGCGGATTAAGGGGTTTGCATATAGACGACAAGGTTCTGAGAAACTCGATAGCGAAGAAAAAAAAGCAGAAAAGAACATGCCAACTGCCCTAGATAGAACCCCATTGCATTCCCAGTTTGTGCGTGTCCAACGAACTCCATCTCCAACACTACGCCCTCATCCGCACAGCTGATTCCCTGATATGAACACAGCGTCGTTCGAATCGACGATTTTCATGGCTTTATTGTCCTGCAGCTCGGCTTTAACTGAAAGGCGGCTTTAAGGGCGGATCCGGAGCGGTCGAGTCACTGGGGAACAACGAGGCCCGTTACTGAATCTATCTTGCTCATAGCGGCCCCTTCCCATTACCAATCGTTTGCCCGCGAAATCTACAAGTTGTTACGGCACGGGTGCACCCGAAGGCCATCGGTTCAACTTCTATACCTCGTCGCGGGACTGCGCCTTTAACGGGGGACGTGGAGGCGACCTAGCTTGTGATCAGGTGTTTTCAAAATACTGGAATGTCGAAAAAACCCAAAATGAGCTAAGCTGTAACAATCCTCCCATAAAAAACTTGTTGACTTCAAAGCTGCCCATCTGTACCCGCTTACATTCCCACTTCGTAACTGAGAGATGTGTGCTACGTGGAGGTCCAAGATTCAAAATTATGGAGTCGTCAGGCTGAGTCAATAGTTCCTGGTTGCGGCGACAGGGGAAGGAGACGTTACAAGCGTGTCCTCCCGCGAGAAGCTGATCTTAGGATTCACATGAAAGCTCTACAATACAGACCGAGTCAAATAAGTCAATAAAATGGCTGATGCGTCTAGCTACTTCATGCGTGTGCCGCACTGAACGTCAGATCCGACCAGCACACGAAATGAGATAGACATTTGGGGTGGAAAGGGATTGTGGAAGGGATTCCGAGATAGGCACCAGTTCCGCGTTCCTCTGCTTTTGCAGTGGACAATCAGTTTAAGCTAATGAAAAGCAATGTCATGTCATTTGTTCCGAGGGAAATCCCATTAATGCATGCTAGCTGCATGACTTTATGATCCCTGCAAACGATATTCCTGAGAGCGTCACAATTGGTGGGAAAAGCTGCCCTGGCTGCGTTTTGAATCACACCCCTTTTTGCCTTCTCGTTTGCAGGTATACTCGAAATCCATGAGATCGGGTAGGCGTGGCCGCATGTCTTCAACTTAACCTGAAGGTGTCTATGCTTCTGGTGAGATATTTTCATCTTGACACAATTGTTGTCGTGTCTCTGTCCAACACAGAACAAGATGACAGTTGTCCCAGACTGGAATATTCCACGAGTAACCATTCCGTGCCATGTTCAAATGCCACGCCTACTCCATCTCAGGGACAAGGAGTGTGTCAAGACTGCGCGGTGCTCATTTACTATCGTCCTGGAAGAAATGGTAGATCGAAATTCACGAACCCAACGATCGATGAGCAACTTACTTTGGCATAAAGTTCCAGTACGATATGCGAAAGGAATCGGCCAATATCGACAGCTGCCAGGACCATCACTGGAATCCCCAGTAAACCATAAATGATCGCCAAAAGTTGACCAAATAGAGTAACCGGCACCGCATATGAATAACCAGTTGTTGTCTGGAAATAACAAAAGACTCAACTTTTAGAAATATCAGTATTCGATTGGATTGAAGATAAGTGGGGGTAGTCCGGCTGGTGGGGGCAATTTGCTGGATACCAGCGACCACCGCCGATGGCACCTGCGGAGACAACTTCCTGTAAAGCTATGCAGTAGCGGGAGCTTCGCCTAGACATGACAGGAGTCTGCACGTCTCACCAAAATGTATCGGGTAATTTAACAGGAAATAGCAAAAACGACTAGCAAAATTGCAAAATGCCCCTCCCAGCTGAACAGCGTTGACACTTGTCTCTTGCTTTTCAGTGCAAAAGGATCAGCTACCGACATCCCTTTTCTTGAAAGAGCGGATGTAGAACCCCCAACAGCTTAAATATTATTCCCTCAAAATCTTTGCTACATTGAAATCACTAACTGTATAGAAACCTACCAGAATACTCAGAGCATAAAGTAGTGCGCTACTCCGGCTCCATCGTGGTGGAGGGCTTCTTCGGATGGCATTCCATCTTGTAATTGGAATGGCCGGTTTTCGTGCAATGACGACAACCTGTAAGTTTTTCGCTGAATATTGCAGGAACCTTCACGGTTAAAAATGCATTCCGCGGCATCGCATGGTTGAAAGAAAGGGCGGAGACTCATCGCTACTGCGCCTTCCTCGTTGGCGCGCACTTTCTTCTATAGTATTAGATTGGAATTCATCCGTTTCAAAGATGATCCGCTGGACCAGAGCGATTACCAACTGGATTCCACGGGATGTCAAGCAAACACCTGGACGACCGTCTACGCGATGGTCAGCTTTCTTAGTGAGAGGCTTTTCAGAGCTTTCAAACAATGGACGGTATGCACCCTTCCATCCCTAATACAGAGAACCCATTGGGCAACTCGGCGCAGTTCGGCGACGGGGGAGCATTTTGCTCTCCATCAGCCCATCTGGACCTTTTATTGAGTTGACACGTTTTACTATGGTGGCTAGGCGAGCTTGCTCCAGCTTCACAACAGTTCACAAGTTTCGCGCAAGAGGGACTCATCTTAAACAGGAAAGTTAGCAGTGAAAGTCGAATGCCTCTCCCACCCCCCGCCACGCCCTCGCGCGAACTGCCGTCGGTAAGCTGTCCAGGTATTGGAGGGACGAATTGGATGCACACCACGTCTCCGTTCCGAGCAATCTCGATGGTGAAACGGGACAACAAGTGACACAGTGACTTGTACGGAAGGACAAGCCTAGGTGAAAAAAAGCGCGTGTCATGAGTCTCCAACCCCTCCGAGTCATCGCTAGAATGTGGGAATTATGAGTCAGACCACGTCCTACTTACTCTCCAATTTGCTCAAAAATCCGATCTCGGTAAGCGTCGTAGGCCTCCTGAGGAGCCATCTCTCGAAGAGCTGCATCAATAACTCGATAGTCCTGGAATGCGTTATGAAAACTGCTGTGATAATTCGAGATTGGTTGTGACTGTCGTGACGCAAGCGCAGTACAGCACCTGCAGCTGCTATCCTATAGGGGGAGTCCTTTACTGACTATTCACGCGTTCCTAGAAGAGCAGGCGTGTAATGGCTCAATGGGGGCTACGATGAAGAAGTCCAGCACCCACAAAAACACCAGGGCAAAAGGTAGTTTGGTACAGACCGGACGTGGGGGGGGGGCCGGGCAGCTATACGCCACGTTAGTCCGCCGTACTGCATTCGTAAGCGTAATAGGAGGCCGGCATCAGCATAGGGTGATAACCTCACAATGTAGTCGGGCGTGTACAGGAGGGGTGGAACGAGCCGTCCCGGCTAACAGCGGCATGGCCCTATCAGTGGTGATCGGTCAGCAACCGAATCAGAAGGAAATCGGGAGGTGGAAATGGATGGTCAAAAAAAGGGAGCAAGGGGGGCGCAGGTAAATTCAGCTAGGGGAGGGCATTTAAGACGCCCCACATTCCGCGAAAAAATAAGGCTATGACCTCTCAAATGTGTCGGACGATCCGGAAGGCGATTTTTGAGGCTGCGCTACTTTCAAAATGTGAAAAACGGCAAGAACTCGCTAGGCTGGCTCAATTAGCGCCCAGGACACCTCTTAGCCAGCCCACCCTCACGACTGCTGGTTCACTAAGCTAGTAGCCACTATTTTTATCTTATCTATAACAATCGACCAGGGCACAGCATTCGATGGGGATTTTGGTCGAGCCTGTACGACCCCCCCCTTTTTTTGGGGGTTCGGTACGACCCCCCCCCTTTTTTTTGCCGTTCGGTTTTTTTCGCCTTAAATGAAACTATGAAACGCCCACTATGAAATTCTACTTGTATGAAGGTGCCCATACTAAATGGACGACTTGAAGTCATGACATAATAGAACAATACAGAGATGATTGCAAACAAAAAACGGTACAATCGTATTATGAGAAACTCGTATGATGACTTCTTCGAATGCCGTTTGAACACACACATGGTAATAATAACGATATATCGCGATTAAATTCAATGAGCATTCGTTAACCTGAGGTGGACTCCCTCTCTGGGAGCGGCCATCAGCGACCACAGTGTTAACAACGTCTATTCCCAAGATTGAGGACGAGGAAAAGAGAAAGTTAGGCTTGTCTCACTACGTAACAGTTATACAAACCGCCGTAAAAATGCATTACCCCGATTATTGGAGTACGGTAGCAGAAGCGCATGTAATTGCAGATGTGACCGCAGATCGTTCGGCAATTTTAGCCATGGAGCGAGAATTTTCAGCAAAGTAGGGTGTCTTTGAAGGACCATAACTTCCTCAAAAGCGGACCTGTGGGGAAGAGGAGACCGTATTCGTGTAGAGGAAGGATTGCACTTCCTAAATTTTTTTTTTTTTTTTTTTTTTTTTTTTTTTTTTTTTTTTTTTTTTTTTTTTTTTTTTTTTTTTTTTTTTTTTTTTCTATGAAACGTTTATGAAGGTCGCAAAAATCACAGAGAAATCTGCCCATAGGGATTCCATGGGAGAGTGAAGGGTTGAAGTTTAAGTTGAACAGGTTTGAACCAATATATTTTTTTAACTCAACATTTCACAAATCTGAGAACGGATCGAGTGTTTGAAGATTTTCTCTTTCTGAAAACCTCTTGAACTGTTTCTGAAGCTCTCGGGATTCATGAGATCTCGCTATGGGGATTTCTTGAGGAACACTCCCAGCTGCGCGAAAAACCCGTTTCCTGTGTACCGTTTCAAGTGAGCGTGTTCGAATAGCCAGGAACGCATGTAGAACGTATCCTGTGGTGGAGCAGGAGCAGGATATGGTTCGTTTAGCGCCGATCACGCCAACTTTGGATGCGCCGCGCACTGAGGGCCGCGCAGAGGTGATGGGATGGTGCAACTTGTGCGTAATGTCTGTTCACGCGAGCAAATGTGTCTATAAGGTTCAGGGAGGTCCATGGCGAGCCTGTGCACTTGTTTACAGTGTTTTCCGTTGCGTATGATGGAACATGTCCCTGTCAACGCTGCCAGATTCGTGCTCCACCAATCGCTGACTCCGATAAAGGAGACCAACTGCTGGAAAACGTCTGATATGAACGATATGGTAGTCCTGTCGCTTGTCGAGAAAAAAACAGGTTGGCTCAGCGCCAAGCGCGACCGCGGACACGCCATATCATTGGCAGCGAACCAGAGTTTGAGTTGTACTGTTTAGTCACCAACGGACTTACGAGATAATGTCGACTTATTAATATTTGCAGTTATTTCGGATTAGTTTGATGAATGAAAGTTTTGTACTATTTTTTTGCATATCCGAGTTCTCTACAAAGCAAGTTTCGTTGTACAGGACTCAGCACATTGACAATTTGCGCTGCTCGTTACTGGCTGCCGCACTCACTACGACCCCCCCCTCTCCTGGCGGCCAAATACGACCCCCCTGTTGGGGATTCCCCAACCAACGATGTGCCCTGTGGTCGGACTCTTTACTGCCTGCCTTTCTCGCTAATCAGATTACTTAGCCACTTATTTGTGCCTATTTGAGTTTGCGCTTTCTCGCAATGTGCGGCTGGGAATGTGCCTTTAAAGGAATCCTTGGACAAAACTGGAATTACGCTATTACAGATATTGTGAAACCTCCCTCTCGCTCAAAAAGGTCACCAACACCGCCTCTCTGTTAGGCCTAGCCAACACTACTCGTCCCCATTCCGGGACAACCCCAGTTTTGCACAATAAGTCCTTTGAATGCCACTCCCCCTTAGCCGATTTGCGCAGGAAATGAGTTGTAAACTGTGCTTTACATGCTTAATTCGGTCAAGTTTTTCGCTTTGAATCTTCTCATCCGCCTCGTATTCCAACCGATAGAACAGCGCCGCTCCGGCCATAAGGTACATGAACAACGCGAAGTAGAGTGCCGCATGGGGCAGAGCCATCTTGACCCTCTGAAAAACAACCAAAAATCAGACTTTTTCAAAAATCTTCTGATGATGAACAGCTCACCTTCTTCCATGTTATCGGTGTTTCTTCCTCGTTCGGTGTTTCTTCCTCTTCCTCCATGATTGCAGGCTGGGTAGAGCTGAGAAGCCCGACAGAAGCAATGAGGCGTTGTCATTGCTGAACGGAAATGCCATAACGGGGTTCTTTTGTTCTGCAAATTGAGCGTCAGGAAAACTAATTATGTCCGGAATAAATCAATCATCTTCATCGCACCTGCGCTGCATGTGATTTGCTTGATACCAACTGCTCTTCATTGATTCGCATTCAGAAGTGTTTCCATCCCCGGATGGAGAATAATCCCCAATCAGTTTCATCAGTTTCCATTTCTTTGGAACAATTAGTCCCCTTAAGAACAGCTTTGTCGCCGAACTCTAGGGTCAACCTTCCAGGGCAGATAGCTAGTATTGT